CTTTTGATAGCCAGGCACCATGAGCTTTCTTCTCCACGTTTGCTTATGCACACGTTTGTTTTCAACGATCATGTCAGGAAAGTGGGTATCATGGAATGACCGTTTAGCTGAGCAAGGTGCTCTTGTATTAAGGGAATGCGTGCGAGGAGGCCCAATGTCCACCTGCTACCCTATTACTAAACCTATAAATATATGCACATAGGTCTAATTTCCCCCATAACCATAAATATATTTACATATGTACATGTTTGTATTTAGGGATAAATACAAACATGTATGTATTTAGGGATAAATACAAACATGTATGTATTTAGGGATAAATACAAACATGTATGTAGAAGCCCATACATAAAGGGCTTCTATGTATGCCCTTTATGGTAAAGATTTTCACCTCTGTCTGTTGTGTCTATTTCTATCAGCCATCACATTCACTTTGTTCTGTTGTTCTTGTAGGTAGAGTCAAATGCCTTTTACATTGTGAAGTAGGTATGGATCAGACTGAGGTGTCGGGACTCTTATTCTGTAGCTATGCTTTGTCTTATGTGTTTATTTTCCTACGAGGTGTGCTTTCTTTGCGGTTTTACATTTATTTTTATTTTAGGAAAATTTATCTGTTTTTCCAGACATTACCTTTGTACCTTTTTAAATACCCTCATATCCTGTCTTCTCACTTAATCTTACATGATCTGTTTTGTCTGCTTTAATTTGTAGGCTTTCTTGTTTGTTTGTTTACATGGCATTCATTGAGTTTATTCTGTTTTCCTTTTTCTCTGTCTCTTCTCATCCAAAGTTTTAGTTGCATGATTTCTACGTTGTCAGAATATGTGTCATTTATATAGCATTCTTGCTTTCATCCCTGACCAGCCTTAATTTTTAGGTTTAGATACACAATTTAATATATCAAATACTAACCATTAATCTTTGGCATAGAGTTTCCCCATATTGCAGTGTCTTAAAAAATACAGTATAAATTGAGTTCCCCCATGTTTTAAAACAATTTCTCTATAGCTCAGCTGGATAGAAAAATCTCATTTTACAGTTTCTTTCCTTGAATTTTTCAAAAGATTAGTTCTTTTGTTGCCTTGCTTTCTACATCTTTTGAAATGTCTGATGCAGCCTAACTCTCTTGCCCTTGGGCAGTTTTTGTTATTTTCTTTTACATGGAAGCCATGAGTATTTTTGCTTTATTTTTAAAATCTAGAATTTTTTCACTTGGATATGTTTTTTTACAGTTAATTGCCCTGGATCTACTTTCTCAGGTAGATCTTTCAATATTTAGATTTAACCCTTTTTATTTTTGGAATGTTACTTTGGACTATAAATAGCATAGTATTATGAACTGGTATAAAGTATACACTCAAATTTTATATGTGTGTTTATATGTATATATTGTGTATATATTACATATGCATACATATGTACAAATGATATATACATATATATTATTTTTTTAATACTTGTATT